TGGCCAGAGGCTAAGGGCAAGGAGCCAGAGCGAGTCCCTCCCAGGGGCGGGTGACACACAGAGGCTCCCCGGGGTCTCTTGCAGGCAGTTGCTTGAGGGCATGGAGGGCTATAGACATGGTTGTCGTGCAGAACACAGCCCCGGTGCACGCTGCACAGACTCAAGGGGAAGAGCCAAGCCAGGGCCCCATTTCTTTCTGGGTCTGATGGGGATGCCCTGGTCAGGAAATGCTCAAGTCTCCTCTTGAGCTTCACACACACGCTTCCAGGCAACTTAGCTGGGTGCATGCAGCAGCTCCCCAAGGTTCATCAGGCAAAGCCCAGCTGAGACTTGCTTGCACAATTTTACCTTCTTCTCACAGCAAAGTCCCCTGCCCTGCCATGGTTGGCATATAGTCTGTCTTCACCAAAATCCATCTTCAAGTGTCATCCCCAGTCTCCCAGTGATGAGGGGTGATAGGACTTCCCAAATTGGTTAGGTTCTGGGGGCATTGCCCGCAGGAATGGCCTCATGGATGAAGCGGGTTGGTTGTGTTGAGCTTGTGCTTGTTCTCCCAGCAATGGGCCCTTCTCCTGAGAGTGGATTGTTGAGGAGAGCCTGGCACTGCTCCCCCGTCTTTCACATGTGTGTTTTTTAACCTGTGTCCCGTTCCCTGTCCATTTTCCATCATGAGCCATCACCAGAAGCCAAGGAGATGCTAGCACAGTCTTGGGGGCTTCCAGAAGCATCAGGCAAAAGTCAGCTTTTTCTTTGTGAATTACCTCATTTCTGGTGCTCTCTTTATAGCAACAGAGAATGGAGTAAGCTAGCCCCTACAGGGCACCGAGCCTTCAGGCTACACTCCTCTGGCTGTTTTCAGCAAATCAAATCTCGGGGAGCAGAACTCTGAGGGCAGATTGGCTCAAGAGGCAAACATGGCACATCATGCTGCCTGCTAGGGAGAACAGGTATGCCAGCTGCCAGGCTCTTTGGCTTGGGACTGGCTGGCCCTGCCCAACAAAGGGGTAGAGGGAGATCTAAAACCCTTCAGCAGGTGGCAAAGCTTACCTTCTTGCCATCCTCGCTCTGTAACATTCAGGACTTTTCCCTCCTGCTAGCAGAATGGTGAAAAAAATCAAATCAAGCTAATCTGTCCTTTGAAGTGTGGTGTTTTCATCTCAGCCTGAGGCAGCAAGTCAACACGCAGGCAGATGGATGTGCGTACGCTGCGGCCTATGTGCCCTGCATACTTATGGCCATGGAAAGCATTTGACTTTCCCAGACTTGAGCAAGTGTGGGCTCAGTAATTTTCTTATTGACATTTTCAGGTTGCCTTGTTCAGTATGAGTCCCTGCAGTCTGAACATTGAGAGATGTGAAGTCTGGGTCCCCTCTTGCTGCCAGCCTTTGCCACAGCCCTTCTGGGGCCCGTTTTCTCAGCTGTGAAGGGGAAGCCTATGACCCGCACCACCTATGGCTCTAGCATCCAGTGATCTGTCTGTCTGCTGTGGTTACCTGACAGTGGAGCAGGACGACATCACCTGACTCGAGAGTGTTTTGCTTTCACTGTGTAGGTCAGGAATAAAGAGAATGAACAGGGCCCGGCGCGGTGGCGCAGTGGCGCAGTGGTTAAGGTCCTCGCCTTGCACGCCCGGGATCCCATATGGGCGCCGGTTCTAATCCCGGCGGCCCTGCTTCCCTTCCAGCTCCCTGCCTGTGGCCCGGGAAAGCAGTCGAGGACGGCCCAAAGCTTTGGGACCCTGCACCCGTGGGAGACCCGGAAGAGGCTCCTGGCTTTGGATTGGCATAGCATCGGCCGTTGCGCTCACTTGGGGAGTGAATCATCGGACGGAAGATCTTCCTCTCTGTCTCTCCTCTCTGTATATCCGCCTTTCCAATAAAAATAAAATAAATCTTTAAAAAAGAAAAGAGAATGAACAAAGAAATGCAGAACTTAAAGCATTTGCCTGAGTAGAGAGGAAGCGTCTTCCTGTGCACCTATAGGAGCTGGTTAATATCCTATTTGCTGGTCAGCTTGACAGGAGACCTTGACCTGCTGCCTGTCCTGGCACACGTTCAGTTCCGTCTCCGCTCTGCAGCCGTAGTTAGGCGTTTCGAAGAAAATCAATGGAATGATCTGGTGTGTTTATGTGAGAACAATGAACTCCCGTGATGAAATGTTTACCATTGCATTTTGTCAGAGTTTGCCCAGCCTGCCTTTACAGCAAAACCGTGCAAAGCAAGGACCTGTGGGAGGTGCTTTGGTGATCATTTAGGGGGCAGTCCAGATGGCCTGGAATTCTGGCCTTCGTTTGTGCTTTGAACTATCTTATTTGGAAATGTGGCATCTCTTCTCTTCCGGGGAGAGGAGGGTCAATTTGATGGAATCAGAGAAAGTGAAGTCCATCAAGGCAGGGGGAGGGAAAAATAGCCTGCAAACCCACTCAGCTAGCAAGCAAAGGCGCCGCCTGGCTGGTGCCAGTCACGCGTGGTGGATGTAAGACCAACAGCTCCCAAATGGCACTGCTTCCTTTCAAAGGGAGGCTTCAGCACAGACACACCTCTGCCTCCTGCGCAGCTGCCTGCACACACACCTTGCATACACTGCCTATTAACTCAGCATCTCCCCTCCCCCGCCTTCCCCACCCACCCGCCGCGTCACAGGCCAGATGGGACACAGTACTAAGGGAGATTTTCTTTGCCAAGCGATCTTGGAAAACATGACTTTGACTTGTGTTCAAATTTGGTTTGAGGCCAGGTTGCGGAGGTAATGGCCTCATGCGAAATTGGTTATAGAAAGTTTGGAAGCGGGAAGGGAGCAAGGCCGCTGTCCATGGGTAAGGTATTGTTGCGGCTTGGCTGGGAAGGATTAGCCACGGGGTGTTGGCAATTTCGTGACTAAGAAGTTGCTGTGATCCCGAGCTAAAGCAAGGTTAATTGGCAGAGTTTCACTGATAACTTCATTAGATAAACATGCATCTGTCCCCGCCTGATTTGCACAGAAACAGAGAGGACAAAAAGGGCAGGCCCTGGAAGGGGCCGGCAGGAAGGGAAGCAGCCCTAGAGGCACCTGCTGGAGGGCCCGTGTGGCCAGGGAGCTGGCCCTCAGGGCTGCCTGCTTGCTTTCCTATAGGGAAGTTTGTATTCACATCAACAGTGTAGGAAAACATTACAAAGGAGATGCGTGCATTGGCACCCTTAATCCTGCTAGTCAGAAATCACTACTTTAAATATCTTTGGTTCAGTCTTTTTCTATAAGTGTTGTAGCAAAGTTGAGCTCATCCTGTAGTTGTAATTTGAGCTCCATTTTTGTTTTTTTCCCCAGCATTGGCATAATTCAGTTCTCTGCTTTCGTAAGCTCCATGCATGTGGTTGAAGTTAGTGGCTGCGGGTTGGTTTGTCTTCTGGCTGTTCTTGGCAGCTTGGACTCTTTGTGGGCTTGAGGGCATGTATTGCATCAGACAGCCGTGAGCTTGACTCCTGGCCCACCCTCTTGCCTGTGTAACAGCCCTGTGGCCTTGGGAAATGACTGCATCCTTGGAAGTCTCAATGATTTCACCTGTCAAATGGGCTTTAGAGTGTCACAGCCTCATAGATGTGCCATAAGGGTTAGATCAATCATTGCTTACTGCCTCCTGATTGTTAAGTACCTTTCCCAGAGAGATAACGCTAAATACCACTTAGAAAAGTCCAGCTAGGTGAGGTGGCCTGCCCAGTGTCCATGGTTCACAATCGAAAGAGCCAGCATTTGTCAGAGTCCGGAAGCTCGCCGCTCATCTATCATGCTTTGCTGCGTACTCAAAGTAATTTGACTGAGTCCCCCAGCGCATACAAACTGGAGCAGAAATACTACCTCCCCCAAAGCCTGCTGCTAGGATGCCCCCTGAGGGGGTTCCTCACAGTCTCACAGTCTCTGCATTTTACTTAAACCGTTTCTTCCCAGGCCCCCCCCACCCCCCCACCCTCCCTCCCACCCCCCCACCCCCTTCCCCCGTTCCCATCAGGTGTGGTGGGCCAGTCCATGCCGGGCAAGTGCGTTTGCGGGTCCTTGATGTAGCAGCGGGTCTTCAGAGAGCAGAAGAGACCCTGTGGGACTTTTGACAGTCACGTGCCTTATGATGTGCAACGTGGACCACATGCTGCAGCCCTCCCGATCCACACATTGGCTTTAATGATCTGGACATCGAGAGAATTCTCTCTTCTGCTCCCCATCCTCCCCACCCCACCATGTCCTTAGCATCGCTGTCCACGCATGCAGTCCTGGCTGCGTTCCACAGGCACTGAATTGCAAGTCCGACCTGAGCTCTCCCTCCTACAGTCAACCCAGGCGACATCCCTGGATCCAGTTCAGGGATGAATGCCATTGATTGCATTGCTGCCTCTGTCATCCACGGAGTGACTGTGACAGAGAAAAACAAAGTAGCTGATATGCGAACACATCCCTCCCTTCCAGTTGATCACGTATGACAGGGTACAACTGGTTCATGGTGCTGAGGGGCGGGGCGGGGAGGATGGCCTTGCCAGTGGCCTAGTGGCCTGAGTGTTAGAAAGAGCCTGAAGGCTTGGCCGCTGACCTGGCTGCAGTGGGTCCTCTGCCTGCATTCTGTCGGAGGTCCCACCTCCAGAGCAGATCCGATTTTGGATCTTCTCTTCGAATCCCTTGGTTATTCAGCAGATTGAATCTGAATTGCAAATGTGGCTCCAGTGTGGGTGGACCATTGTACTGCCTAGTTTCAGGCCATTTTTTGCTGAGCGTGCTTTTACAGAAGGCTGTTACGGATTTAGAAAGGGGGACTGGCGTTGCATTTGTCAGTTGGAGTTTTGTTTGGCTGACTGAATTTTATTTTAGGTTTGTCTGAAGGTGCCAAAGCCTGATGTCCCTGGAGAGAGCGTTGCTCAACTGAAGGGGGCGGGGGAGGGGAAGGTTCTCTAAATTGTCCAAAATGCACATAGAATCAGTGGTTCTTGCGTGAGGCCGGGCTAGCCAACAGTCTCATGTGGCATATTTGATTACTTTTTCAGAGACCCAAGAAGCCGCCTCCTCCATCCGCTCCTGTCATCAAACCAGGGGCAGGTAAGGGACTCCGTCTCACCAGGTCACACACAGGTGCCGCCTTTCACCTGTGCTCACATGCTGCTAGGCGGAGCTCAGCATCCCTTGATTCAAATGCCGCTCACTGCCACGTGCAGAAATCACAGCCTGTGCTTCGGATGGAAGTTTTAAATATCCAGCTGTCTTTCCTAAAAGAAACCTACCATTCAGTTCTGTTCTCGGTCTAGCACATAAAAACAGGCCTCCCACAGAGAAAGGTCAGAAAGAACTTTCCTGTTAGCCAGTCTGGGTTCTGTTTTCATCAGGTGCCTTGAGGCTAGGAGACTCAGATTGTCCTGCTATGGCAGTGCCTGAGCTGCAGTCGGCCTGGCCAGGACGCCTTCCCATGGGCCATTACGGCATGAGACATATACAGCGTCGCTGGCTTTGCCATGTCGCTCTTGTATGATTAACCGGAATTTGCGCTGCCTTGCCTAGGCCCTAACAAAAGGCTGTTTGCGAGTGCTGGGCGCGCCTCTTGGGGATGCCTGTTAAGCCCAGCAGAGCTCAGGTTCCTATCATTCAGATACTAAACTTGAGTCATATAGGGGAAATGGGAGTTGTTGGACATGGGATAACTCACTGCGTGCTGGCCTCTCATGTAGAAAGATGACAATTCACATTTCCAACAGTACTCCTGGTTTGAATTGTTAATTTCATGGGGGAAGTTCCTCCCTGGATAGCTGGCTAAGTGGCACTAAAAACACATAACACACACCAAAATAAAACAAAACAAAACAAAAAACTGAAACAGAAGGAGAGTAAATATAAATATGTTTTTAGTTCTATGTATTAAATTTCCAGAATAGTTTATTCATAGATTTATTGACGTTTCTGGGCCCAGCATTGTAGCATAGCCAGTAATGCTGCTGCCTGCGATGCTAGCATCCTATGTGGGCACCTGCTCCTCTTTTGGCTGCTTTATTGCTGACCTAGCTTCCTGTTAATGACCTGGAAAAAGCAGCAGAATATTCCCATGTGCCTGGGCGGCTGCCATCCATGTGGAAGACCCGGATGAAGCTCCTGGCTTCATTCTGGCCCAGCACTGGCTGTTACAGCCATCTGAGAAGTAACAGGCAGATGATGGATGCTATTCCTTTCTCTCTCTCTCTCTCTCTCTATATATATATATATTCCTTTCTCTCCCTCTCTCCCTCCCTCCCTCACTCCAACTCTGGCTTTCAAAATGAATGGATAAAATTTTCATAAAAAACAAATTGTAAGTTCCTTTGGTCTACCAAGTTGGGAGGTGGGGGTGGATTGGACCCTAAATTCCTTTCCCCACATCCTTTGGCATATTTGAGAATTACAAAGATTGAGCCCTGAAATGAGATGTTAATTACATCTCCTGTTTCACCCCCAGCCTTCTTTGTGTTGAACAGTTTCATTTTGCCACCTAGTGGTTCTGCTCCTATAAATATTTTATAGTCCTGGAACTGAAGCAAGCTGTTTATTTGCTTTTCACTGTGGATTGCCCCAGAGGCCCTGCTAACCAATTCCGGACCATGAAGTTGAGTCCAGTGGTGCAAGGCTCAGGCAGTCCAGACTCTGCAGTAGCTTGCCATGCTTGCTGTGTATCTAGAAATGATGCTTAACTTCCTCATTGTTATTGGGAAACCACATTGTAACATGCTAGACACATTCTTTATCCTTTTCAAACAATTTTACTGACATTGTCTGTCCCCATGGGGCAAAATTAGGTGACACTTCATCTTTGCAGATGACTGCTACAACTCATTTTGTTCTACAGAATGATTTTGGCAATGAATTTGTGATGGGGAGGTAAGCATGCATATTTTCCTCATCATCAGCTTTCCTTGAACTTGATTATTTGACCAAAAAATCATATATAGACTTGACAGAAGTTAGACATGGCATTTAGTATGTGTCGAGTTTTTAAGACCTAGGTGGATTATGTGTTCAGTGGTTTTTTTTTTCTTTTCTTTTTTTTTTAAAGATTTATTTTTATTATTTTTTTATTGGAAAGGCAGATATACAGAGAGGAGAGACAGAGAGGAAGATCTTCCATCCAATGATTCACTCCCCAAGTGAGCGCAACGGCCGATGCTATGCCGATCTGAAGCCAGGAGCCTCTTTCGGGTCTCCCACGCGGGTGCAGGGTCCCAAAGCCTTGGGCCGTCCTCGACTGCTCTCCCAGGCCACAAGCAGGGAGCTGGAAGGGAAGCGGGGCCACTGGGATAGAACTGGCGCTCATATGGGATCCCGGGCGTGCAAGGCGAGGACCTTAACCACTGCGCCACCGCACCACCGCGCCACCGCACCGGGCCCTCAGTGGGTTTTTTAAAAAATTATTTTAGGAGCTAGTACTGTGGCTCAACAGCCTATTCACCCGTCTGTGACCAGCAGCATCCCATGGGGCACTGGTTTGTGTCCCGACTGCTCCACTTCCCATCCAGCTCCCTACTTAGGGCCTAGGAAGGCAGTGGAGGATGGCTCAAGTTCTTGGGTTCCTGCACCCCTGTGGGAGACCCAGAAGAAATTCTTAACTTCTGGCTTCTGATCAGCTCAGCTCCAGCCATTGTGGCCATTTGATGGGGCAAACCAGCACATGGAAGATCTCTCTCTCTCTCTCTCTTTTTCTTCCCTCTGTAAATCTGCCTTTCAAATAAAAATAAATGAGTCTTTAAGAAGTTCCTGTTGGCTATGAGCCTGTGTAATTGAGATTTTCAGACCAGGTGCACTCGCCTTTGGAATTGGCCATGTAGAATTTGTGAAGCGCGCAGCCAAATTGACCCGCAGCAGGAGCACTTCGGGTTGGCTTGTCCTTTGATGTTTTCCAACTGCTCTTACATGCCTGAGGCCACTGGCAGTAGGGGGATGCCAGGTAAGGAAGCAGCTGCAGGCCACATGTGGAAAGAAGAAATGCCTAGCGGAAGCCTTGGAAAGATGTAAAATTTGAGGGGTTCGCTTGTAGACAGAAGGGATCTCAGAGGACCCAACATAGCTTCTCTGTGCATTCTACAACTAGCAGTCATTTTCCAGTTATATTGTGACATTGTCAACCACCCTAGATTTAGTGGTATAACACAACCACGGGCTCATGGGCTCTCTGCTTCAAGGATATAACCCGGGCAGGGCCAGGATGGCTTATCTTGGTTCCATCATGTCTGGGATTTGGTTGGGAACACTGGATAGGCTGGTAGCTCCATCTTGAAGAGAGCTGTTTCCTCCATGTGTCTGCTTTCCTTCGGCAAGAGTGGCTGGAGGACTGGGCCCCTGGACCTGTATGTGCCACAATCTACAAATGGCCTGTCCAAGCTGGGTGACTGCTTATGTGGACCTTCAGTGTCCAAGCAAATAAAGCACAACCATCATGGCCTTTTATGACTTGGCCTCAGAAATGACATGGCAGCACATTGGCCAGGTCAAAGTGGTCAAAAGACCTGCCTACCTTCTGGCCAGGGGATCTCAACCTCACCCCTATACAGGAGAACATGAACCCGTTCCAGATCATGTGTTAAAACTGCTAGCAAATGGAATCCACGTCACTGCGAGTCCTTTTTGTGGAGCACAGTATTTAGTGCCCCCTTATTTCTGCATTTTGAGGGTTGACTTATTTGTTTATGTGTTCCCTCATTCCCACCAAGTGATTTATTTTAATCTTAAAGGAGCTCAAGTTTGAATGTCAGAAGGTACCAGTAATTTTCTTATCCATTAAGAATTAGAGAAAGGAAAACTTAGTGATGTTGGTCAGAAAGACCTTTCTGTTCAGTCTCTAAGCAATTCGAACTTGCTAGGCAACTCGGGGAAAACAAATTATTGACTTTGCTATTCCTGGGAAATACTTAAGTGCTGGCATGTGCATGCTACAATGAACAAATGGAGAAAACATTTTCTGCTACTGTTATCCTTTGCCTTCTAGGTACCACTGAGAGAAAACATGAAATTAAAAAGATTCCTCCTGAAAGACCAGAAACACTTCCAAACAGAACAGAAGACAAAGGTATGAACTCAATTCCTCATTGGCACTTTCAGAGCAGCGAGAGCCAGAGCAAGTCTGTCACAGGCCTGCTCCTGACTACCCAGACAATTTGCCTTTTTTTTTGAAATATGGTGATTATGGTTTAGTTTTAATTGCTTTTAAATGTCTCATTTCTAAGGGAATTAGGGAGTGTTCTGTGCCACTTTGTAGGGCTAGAATTGCTCATCAAGTGAAAATAACCAGCTCCCTTGGCACATTGAAGCTTTGCACCCTGCTTAGACCTGGAAGTCAGGATGCCATCCCTGTTTTCCAGAGGGCCACGTGCCCACACCTAGGCTGCCCCCGCCCCACTTTTGGTGGAGGAAAAAAAGCTGTCTCTTTAGGTTGTTGCTCACCCTGTGACCCTGGGTGACGTCAGGAGTGCACATCCTTGCTCAACAGTGCTTGGGAGGGGAGCACAGCGGGGCAAAATTAGGAGAAACAGCTTGATGCTCAGAGTCCCCCGCAGGTGATCAGCATTACAGGGAGGCAGGTGCCGTGCGGTGAGGTTTGCAGGTGTGTTTCAGTCCTAGCTGTCCAGTGTCTCTGCAGAAGCAATCCGCAGGCTGTGGGAGGATTTGTGCCTGAGGTTTGGCTGATCCCACATTTCTCTGGGAAACGTGCTCTGTTGCGATTATGAACAGGAGATGGGGAAATTCCATTTTTAAAAGCAGCTATTTTGAAGTCACAAGAGAAATGCTGAATTAATGAGTGTAATTATTTGGAGGTGCTCCTTGATGGCCTCATGAAATTCTATTGTGAAATTTAATATTTCTTCCCAGCCTGCCAGATGTTTTGCCAACACTGCGAGCTCTTAGGAAGCTGTACCTCTTTGATTCACAGCCAACAGCTGGCACTCAAGTGGCAGGAGCTCACTGGGAAGGCCAGGTCTATACCACAGATCAGTGAACCGAGTAGCCTTTTGGCCGCCGTCTGAACAGCAGCTTGAGGCAGTGTGCTGTGAAATCATGGCGCCTCACCGCCTGTCCTTGTGAAGGGAACAGAGCTGATTCCTGGGCAATAGCGAGCTCTGTGATGCTGTCATTTCCTGCACCTGTGCGCACGGACTTAGCATGAGCTTGGCTTGTGTGGCAAAGTGGTCATGAACCTTTAATTCCTGCCTCTCCAGGCTGTAGGCAGTAGAGAAGCTGGCAAAACAGTCTTGCCTTGACATTTTGCCCCTGTTAGCACATCCACATGTGTGCATGCGCATGCACATTCTCTCTCTCTCTCTCTCTCTCTCTCTCTCTCTCTCTCTCACACACACACACACACACACACACACACACACACACACAGATTCTTTCTGCGGGCTGGAGGGTGAGTGTCCATCTCTGTCCTGCTGCCAGCAGAAGTCTCCTCTGTGAAAGAGGGCTGTGTGCAATAATGTCTGCCCAATACCTGGTGGAGCTTCACAAAAGTAATTCTTTCAAAGAGATCTTTTCTATCCACTGGTTCAATCCCTGAATGCCTGCAACCGCCAGCACTGGATCGGGCTATTATCAGGAACACAGCTCTCAGTCCAGGTCTCCTCTGTGAGTGGACCAGCTAGTAAGGCTGTCTAGCACCTGTTGCTGCACAGGTGCGCATCAGCAGGAAGCTGGAACTGGAAGCAGAGCAAGAACTCAAACCCTGACCCTCCAGTGGGAGTGGAGTATCCCAAGTTGTATCTTAATGGCTTTGTCAAATTCTTGCCCCTCCATAGGCCTTTAAGAGCTTGTGTCATTCAGCCTGAGCATATAAACAAAATGTGTTTGTGTTTGCCAGTAAAAGGTACTCTAATAGTCATCTTAGAGGACCTGCTTGTGCTCTAGTGGGCAGCACTCTAAAGCTCTGCATGTATCAAGAACACGGATGGATGCGTTCTATGGCATGCAAGGGGCAAGGTCATTTGGGAACATAACTTGAAGGGGTCATGACACACTGCACAGTTTAAACTAATTTCATTTATCAAGTGATATACATAGAGAAGAGCAGAAAGAGTGAAAATTCCTCTCCCTATTGTTTTTTAATATTTATTTTATTTTTATTGGAAAGTCAGATACACAGTGAGGAGGAGAGACAGAGAGGAAGATCTTCCATCTGTTCATTCACTCCCCAAGTGAGCGCAACGGCTGGAGCTACATGATCTGAAGCCAGGAGCCTCTTTCAGGTCTCCCACACGGGTGCAGGGTCCCAAGGCTTTGGGCTGTCTTTGATTGCTTTCTCAGGCCACAGGCAGGGAGCTGGATGGGAAGTGGGGCTGCCGGGATTAGAACCAGCGTCCATATGGGATCCCAGAGCATGCAAGGCGAGGACTTCAGCCACTAGGCTACTGCGCTGGGCCCTACACTGCACCGTTTAGCCAACAAATCTGGCTTCAATTGCATTCTGAAAGATTTTACCAAAAAAAAAAAGCCTTGGAAATCTAATGAGGGGCTTCAAAGTCATTACGGAAAGTAGAATTAAAATATGGGCCTGACACAATGGCTCAATTAGCTAATCCTCACCTTGCAAGCGCTGGGATCCCATATTTGTACTGGTTCATGTCCCAGCTGCTCCACTTCCCATCCAGCTCCCTGCCTGTGGCCTGGGAAAGCAGTCAGAGATGGCCCAAAGCCTTGGGACCCTGCATTCACGTGGGAGACCTGGAAGAGCTCCTGGCTTCAGATTGGCTCAGCTCCGGCTGTTGTAGCTACTTGGGGAGTGAGATAGCAGATGGAAGATCTTCCTATCTCTTCATTCTGTAAATCTGATCTGCCTTTCCAATAAAAATACATAAATCTTGTTTTTTTTTTTTAATTAAAAGGTAATGGAAATTGGCCATGAAGCTTTTGAAACCATTTTTATGCTTAGCAGCCTGTGTCCTGAGAGTTCCTCATGTGCAGGCTCAGCCAACTACACATTGAAATACTTGGGGAAAAAACTGCACCTGTCCTGAACATGTTCAGACGTGCGCTTGTCATTGTTATCTCAACAATCGAGTGTAACACCTGTTGGAATAGTGTTTAAGTCATCTAGCAATATGGGAGGATATGGAACTGCTATGGTAATTTTTATAAGGGACTTGGCTCTTCATGGATTTTGCTGTCCTCAGGGGACCCTCAGCCAGTCCCCTGCAGATACCAAGGGATGACTTTGCCTATGAATTCCAAGGTCACCTTTCTCATTCAGACTGTGCACAAGAATGCGAGACTAAGCATTCCTGGAAACATGCCGTCTTTTATTGGCATATGCCTCTTGTCTGTCTGTCTGTCTCTCTCTCTCTTTAAATTTCTATTTTAATGCTTATGGCCTTTACAGAGGCTATTCCTGAGGTGTCAGGCCTTTTTGTCACTCCTTGCCCCAGGGTTTGCCAACCCCAGATGGCATCTGCTGAGCATGTGCCAGCCGGCCGTGACCAGGCCTGGCCCTGTCCTCAGGCACTGGCGGCTCCTGCCATTGCTGAGCATGCAAATGCCCAGAGAGAGTGCAGGCAGAGCTCTTTGCCTTTGAGGCTTGCTCTAGGGGTTGAGAAGAGAAAATCGTGGTGTCATGGCTCAGCTGGGCTTTGATGAATGTATAGGAGTCTGCAGAGGAGGGCAGCAGCTGGAGGAGCACTGCAGGTAGAGAAGGAAACGGGGCGCAGCGAAGGAAACAGGGAGCTGTGACTCCATGGGGCTCCAGGTTGGTGAGGAGTAAGTAATGCTCTTTGTCTTCTAATCCCACCATCAGGAATGGCATGGTTTTGTTGTTTGTTTTTTAAGTAAGAAATAAACCTTCTATGTCTAAGTGCTCTCACTTACACTTGATCTGTCTGGGTTTTTTTTTGTGCTTTGCTCAACAATGACTTAAAGAAAGACCAGAGAGAGAACCAAAACTGGACCTCCAGAAGCCCTCTGTCCCTGCCATCCCACCGAAGAAGCCTCGGCCGCCCAAGACCAGTTCTCTGAGCAGACCTGGCGCGCTGCCCCCGAGGAGGCCCGAGCGACCACTGGGCCCATTGACACACACAAGGTACTCCCTGCTCATGGGGCTGGGGGTGGCCATGGAGTGGGCCCAGGACCTCAGGAGCCAGGCAGAGGGGAGAAGGTGGCAAGGGAACCAAGTTCTTCCCACCAGCCAAGTTGTCTATCCACAGTAGAAGCGAGAGCAAGGATGGGGCCACAGGGCAGGAGCGTTGCCCATCAGCAGGTGAGGGTCAGGTTTCAGCACATAGGCCCTGCCACACAGCAGGCTTTCTGCTAGGCTAATCTGGAGCCCGGCCAGCTGCCGTGCACATGGGAAATGCGGTACACATGGGAAATGCACATGCAGCTGTCTTGCCTGGATGTCTTGTGGCCGTCGCTGTGCACACGTCACTGGGAGCTGTGTCCATGTGAGCTCAGCACTGCTCTGTTCTCTTCCCACATTCCAGACTCCTTGCTTTTTGCCCTTCAGTCTGCTGTGCAGCCCAGCAGCCCACGTGGCAGAGATCCCCGTGAGCTCCAAGACCCTCAGAGGCTGCCAGGGACCGGCTTTCTCAAGGCCCATGTTCTGAGGTGTGCCTGACAAAACGGAGATTTGTTTACTGGCTGGCTGGATGCATGTGTGGGGGTGCTTCCGAAAGCTTGTGGGGCAGTGAAATTGAAGAGACTGATTTGTTTGGGTACAGATAACTTAGAATGTGTATGTAGTTTTTCATAATATGCTTTTTCCATAAACTCTTTGATGACCCTTCATATGCATTAATTTCATCATGCGTGTGTGTGTGCCAAAGAAATATTTTTTAGTTCCACTTCCATGGATTTTTTGAATATTTCTGTAATGTGAAATCAGACTAGCGCCTTTGAGGTCAAGATCTTAGATCCTCCTGCAGGTACAAAGAATTACTGAGTTTCTTCCACAAATTCATTGCCCGATCGTTGTGCCATGTACTGTGCATGTTGGTGTAATGTGCTGGAGCAAGTCAGGGACCTAGGGGTCCGGCTGGCTCTTTGTATGGTGGGAGTCGCATGGAGCGTTCAGTGCCTTACCCATGGGTTCTAACCTCAGCCCTCCCACTAGAAGAAGGGAAGCTTTGGCAAGTCACCTTTCCTCTTTCCTCGCTTTTACTCCTTGTAAATTGAGGACTGCAGTAGAGTGTACCTGGCTGTCCCCCAAAATGAAGTCCCTTCTTGTAAATCTGTTTGTTGTTTTCTTTTATCTCTTTTATTATTGCCTATCAGAGTAATGTGGGAGATCATTTACTTCAAAAATTTTTTTCTGAATCATGTTACAATACATGCAGTGTAGTATTTGCCTTAACATTTTGAAGTGCCTTGCTCAGTGAGGTTAAGCACCTCCACATTGTGCAAATGCTTCCAGAACTCTGTCCATGTGTCCTTTCGATTGTTTTAGCATGATGTGCTCAGTGCTCATTCATATGGTGATGTGGCTCCCTGCCTTTCCATGACAACAGCAAAACAACCCCCACCTAATATAGCAGGCAGTGATGGGTGCACACATTCTGTGCGAGCCCATCTGAGCAGCATCTAGTTCACCTGTTTCATTCAACAGGTGGCTGCCAAGGGCCAGTCTGACAGCTTACTCCATCCAATGGCACTGGAGGAACCGAAGGGACTGTGAGCCGCAGTGGAGTAGGCCAAGCCCCAGCCTGTCATGCCCTTGCTTAGTGAGTGGTAGAGGCTCTTGATCCATGTGCGCGTCGGGGGACCCTTGACAGCCCTCTCCCCGCGAAGTCCACTGAGAAGCTAGCACAGCTGAGTGTGGATAGTGCGCATTATCCACAGAGACACACAGAGCAGCAAGCTCGCACTGTGCTTTGTGCAGGAGAAGGGAGAGCCAAAGCCATGCTGTTGGACACTCTTAGTCCTCCAGGGGCTGCAGACTTTGCATGAATTCAGCAACAGTTTCCAGAACATTCCCGCTGCTCTTTGCTTGTGACCCTCTAGGAAGTGAGTTCTGACATGGTGATAGGTGCCCCTTTCGTATCCTGGGAGAAATATTTCATCACAGTGGCCCTTCCTGCTCACAGACGGCTTATTTGCCTTCTGCCTCCGCTTGCCTCCTCTGCCTCTGATTCTGTCACTCTCCAAATGTCAGTTAGCAGGACAGGCCACCGAGGAAGATGCACAAGAGGGAAGTCCAGTGGGAAATATAACTTCCCAGCATTGCGGGGGTTATCTAAGCAGCCAGGAAATGATGGCCAGCCCATCGCCACTGGCCCCCGGCCAGCCAGCCCCTGAGGTACTGGTCTGCAGACAGCAAGGGGCAGAGCACGGGGTACCTATGTAGCCTGTTGGACAAAAAATGGTGCCTGCTCTCCCTCAGGGCGTCTCCAGCTTGGCCCCCATCCCAGTCACCTGCAGACCTCGTTCCAAAGTCGCCAGCAGGACTGGGGCTGGGCAAGGTAAGCCAAGCCTTGCAATGCTGGTGACCAGATAGATGGAAGCGCTGGTTCAGGTCCCCACTGCTGAGCCATCCAGCTCCCTGCTAATGTGCCTGAGGAAGCAGAGGATGACGGCCCAGTCCTTGTGCCCCTACACTCCTGTGGGGGACTTGGATGAAGTTCCTGGCTCCTGACTTCAACCTGGCTTACCCTAGCCATTGCAGCCATTTGATCTCTCGTGTGTGTGTGTGTGTGTGTGTGTGTGTGTGTGTGTGTGTGTGTGTGTGTGTCTCCCTTTCTCCCTACCACTTTGACTTTAAAAAAGAGCCGCTGGGCTCAGGACTGCACTTGCTGACTCAGTAGGTCTGGGTGGGCTGAAGAGTTGTCACCTCTGCAGTGACAGCGCCACTCTGAGGCTGCCTTGTGCCACCCTGGCACACAACCTACCATCTGCAGCTATTTTTTCCTTAGGTTGACCAAGACATCTTGGTTTCTTTAAGCCTTTGGGGTTGGTGCTTAGAATGAAAGAAGCTTCTAGGTACTTATCAGTCTGCATAAGTATCACTAACAGAAGGTGTTGAAAACAGATCCCAGCAGAGCAAGTGTGTGCAGATGTGCAGCAGTGGCCCAGGAGAGCAGCCACTTGTGGCGCTGCGCTCCCATTCTGAGTTTAGATTATACAGATGGTCTATGGTTCTTTTCTAGATTCCTAGTGGTGCTGGGTGTGAAATTTGTATATTCCCCTTGGTTTGCAGACATCAGCATGAAGGTGTGTCATTGGAGAGTTCATGAGAGAGGCCTTGAAATGGCGCAAGTGGGTGTCACTGGCTCATAGATGACAAGTGCAAACAGGAAATAAACTCCCTCCGGGAAATCATAAATTAGAAGCCAAGGAGAGAGTAGAGACAACTGCAAGGAAAAAAAAAACACACAGTTTCTAGTTGGAGAACAAACTAGAGTCACCAAAAAAAGGCAGGGGCAGGATATGATGTGGAAGTTAGAAGGGAATGGGAAGCAAGCTCTCCTGGGCGGTTCTCGCAGCTGGCTGTGCATTGGTTGCCAGGGCTTGGTGTGACCCCAGTGAGGGCTCCAGCTGAGTGTTTCTGCTTTGCACTGGCTCCCAGTGGGATCTGGGAAGAGTCAGGCTTTGATTGATATTTGGCCCTTGATGATCCCAGTTGAGTAGTTTGTGTGGACTTACTGGGGGCAGGAGGTGGATTTGGAATGAGGTAAAGAAAACGAGCAGGTGCCCAAGCATCTTTTGCCACAGCCAAAGCAAAAGGTGGATAACAGTGCTGGATATAGTTATGAGAAAGGTTCCACCTCTGACCTCTTTCTTGTGTTGTTCGCATGTGTGATTAATTTGCTTCAGTTTTCATCAAGTACCTACATGTGGCCAGGCCCACTCACTGTTTGCTTGGGCAGTGGAGCCAGGCACCCCCGGGGGGAAAGGCCACCTTGCCCCTTGAACACCCCTGTGACCTTGGCCAAAGTGCCCACCTCCGTAGTCTCACCTTCCTCCTCGATGGAATGCACAGTGAGGCTGCCTCTCTCCAGCGTGAGCTGGTAACCGGGTGCTGCTCTCAGTGTCCTGAGTAAACACCTGGCAGCTTTCAAGGCACCTGTCAGATCTGTGCCTGCCTGTTAGCCTGCTGGCAAAAGACAAGGCGGCAGGGGGGGCGACCTCAGTAGGAGAGGGGTCACAGGGGTCATGGAGAGAGGAGACATGTAGATGTCCTCAGATGGTACAGGGGGAGATTTAGGGGTACAAGCACGGCAGGCCCCTGAAGCAGCTACAGTCAGGACCAGGAAGACCACAGATAGATGGAGGGCAGCTGGTGAAGGGAGCCTGGTAGTCCCATAAAGCACAGCGCAGAGGAGCTTGTTTGGGGAGGGCATCTGTGTTCACCACCCCTCCTTCCTTACACATGTGCTGTGCTGTCTGTCTTCCCATCTGTGCAGGAATGTGTTTTGTTTGCTGTAGCAAGAAGCAGTGGTAGTGACCGGATGTAGCCCTAGCCAAGCCCACAGCGGGAACCCAGCAGCGCCAGCAGGGCTAGCACCTCCCCCAGGCAGAATGCTCGTTGGTTTGGATTCCGCTTTTCCCACAGGCTCTTTTTTTGGAATATTTCTTCCTCTGAGTGGCACTACACAAACTTCCCAGAGTCACCTGAAGTGGAGTTCTCCCTCCCCCCTCCCACTACTGAAGTGGTGGGCTCAGCTTCTTAAACCCCTCGCACCCCTTGGGATGCTAAGATCTGAACTGCTTGCCCTTTTGCCTTAGGGGGTTGCACATCTCATGCCATGGGTGGTCTCCCCAGGGTCCCCACGTGGACTTGCCAAGTCTGCACAAAGAGCCGACATCTGGAGGGCAAGCAAGTACCCACTGTCCTAGCACCTTCCCCGTGTCTTCACTGTCTATAAATAGTGACACTTGTTTGTGTCCGTCTGGACAAGGACGCCCAATGCAGGGGAAGAGCTGCCAGGAAAACCACTGTCAGCCCTCCTGGTTGTCCCCTGACCAGTGTCACACTGAAATAGAACCGCTCTTCAGTCCAAGGGTGCCTGTGATGCCTCCTCCCTCCCACCCTCTGAGGGGCAAGGGAGTCTGGGGCTGCTGGGGCTCACCCTTTGCCACCTCCTGGCG